CACCCATTTTACAGATGAGGAGCCTAGGGCTGAGTGAAATCAGCTCATTTAATGAAGATCATGTAGCTAGTAACTTTCTAAGCCAAGTTACACAATTAGGTCTGGTCTTATTCCACAGAATTCATTGTGTTATTTTCTTAACCCTGTACTACAGCATGCTTTTGTCAGAAAGCAGAGTGGCTTCAGCCCTCGCCATCTTCACAACCAGCCCACTCCCCAGCATCAGCTGGCAGCCTGCTTCAATACAATATATCAAATTATTTCTATAAAAGAGATAGCTCAGCAAGCATTAAATGTCAGATGTCATCAAACTGACCACCCACCTCTGTGTATTAAGAAGCAAGAACAACAACTAGATTATGATGATCGATGTTAGACTAAGAAAAGAGGCACGAAGGTGGTGATACTTTTTAAAGATGGCAGCTTTAGTTAAAAAACAGTATGAATCAGAATTCAAACCATAGTTTCTGTAATTTGTTGAATAAAAAAAATTAAACTATTCTTGTATAGCTTCAAAAAGTTTTGATTGTCATATTACATTATCTGTAGCACAGAAACACAAAGTTGGGGATTCATTCTAGATTTGTAATAGTAATTCAAGGCTATCATGTGAAAGAAGTATTTTAAAAAAAAGAGTATTCGTATTTTACATGATCACAGTGGCGGAACTAAAACCAGTGAATGGAAGTTTCAGGGATCACAATAAAAGAAAACACTCTGCTATGAACAGAGTTGTCCAAAGACGAAATGAGTTGCTTCAGTGAGACTGCCTCTGCAGAGATTTTCGAGGGTGACTAGGACAGCACGTAACTGGGGCATTTCCAAAAGGTAAAAGTCTCCAGTTGGGTTGGATTACATAATGTTTAAGGACTTTTCCCAACTTCTCATTTTTTTCTTTTAGAACAGGTGAAAGATTTTCACTTTCTCTGCTATTGTTTACACATCTTATATTTATTTGGAAATGATGTACTACCATGTTCGTCATTTATTTTGACATGTACCTGATTTGGGCCGATAGCTTCCGTGTTGCCTCTCATTAATATTAAATGTTAGGCATGTTAACTAGCTGCACTTCACTTATTATGTATTATGATAGGCATCACATATCTTCAGCAAGTCTGTTGCTAGCCTTAACTAAATATTTATAATATATAAAACAAAGCTTGAAGAATCCAGGAATAAAATTGTTCTTTAAAAAAATCTCATGGCATAATATTAATTTTTGACAAAAAAAAAATATATGTTTCTAATCACATATTATTGGTCATTACCATAGTTCTCACCTTGCTTTTGAAAATACGTGTTTACATGTGGCAATTAATAAGCCTCTTGGTTGATTATCTTCATAGATTCACATAAATACTAAGGAGCATAAAACTTTCTTCATCTTATGTCTTCTTCATAAAAAAATAATAAAATTTACATCAAGTATTTAAATGCCATATATAAAGCCATATTCTGCCTTTTAAGGACAGAATTTTATTTAAATCTCTGTTTACTGGTTCTTAATTACCCACCTTCCCCATTTCCCTGTCTGTCACTTCTCTCTCTCTCATGCAGGCATACCTATGAGATAATGTGAGATCAGTTCCAAACCACTACAGTGAAGGATCTCAAGAGAGCAAACCACACAGACTTTTTGGCTTCCCAATACATATAAAAGTTATGTTTATGCTATCCTGTAGTCTACTAAGTGTGCAATAGCATGTGTCTAAAGTACTTTATGGCTAAAAGAAGGCAAGGATATCTTAGCTTTCAGAGAGGGATAATCTTTTTGCTGGTGAAGAGTCTTGCTTCATTGTTGATGGCAACTGACAATCACAGTGGAAACAGCTGAAGTTTGGGATGGCTGTGGCAATTTCTTAAAATAAGACAACAATAAAGTCTTCCTCAGCAGTTGACTCTTCCTTTTACACACATAAAAATCTTGTCTGTAGCATGTGATGCTGTTTGGTAGTATTTTACCCACAATAGAACTTCTCTGAAATTGGGGTCAACCTTCTCAAACCCTGCTGCTGCTTTATCAGCTAAGTTGATGTACCGTTTAAAATCCTTTGTTATCATTTCAACAATGTTCACAGCATCTGCACCAGGAGTAGGCTTCACCTCAGTAAACCACATTCTTTGCTCATCCATAAGAAGCAACTCCTCATCTTTTTAATGTTTATCATGAGATTGCAACAACTCAGTCACATGTTTAGGCTCTATTTCTAATTCTAGTTTGCTTTCCACTAATATTTCTACCACATCTGCAGTTACTTCCTCCAGTTACATCTTGAACCCCTCAAAGTTATCAATGAGTGTTGAAACTCACTTCTTCCAAATTCCTGCTTATGAAGATATTTGGACCTTCTCCAGTGAACCACAAATGTTCTTAATTGCATCTAGCAGGGTGAATCCTCCCCAAAAGGTTTTTAGTTTACTTTGCCCAGATTCATCAAGTAAATCACTACTATGGCAGATACAATATAACAAAACGTATTTATTAAATAGTAAAGGTTGAAAGTTAAATTACTCCTTGATCCATGGGCTGTAGAAGGGATGCTGGGAAGCAGGCATGAAAACAACATTCATCTTCTTGTACATCTCCATCAGAGCTCTTGGGTGACTAGGTGCATTGTCAATGAGCAGTAATATTTTGAAAGGAATCCTTTAGTCAGAGATCTAGGGCTTAACAGTGGGCTTAAATTATTCAATAAACTATGCGATAAACAGATTTGCTGTCATCCAGACTTTGTGATGCCATTGATAGAGCACAGGCAGAGTATATTTAGCATAATCCTTAAGGACCCTGGGATTTTCAAAATAGTACATGAGCATTGGCTTAACTCAAAGTCACCAGTTGGATTAGTCCCTAATGAGAGAGTCAGCCTGTCTTTGAAACTTTGAAGAAAAGCATTGAGTGGTCCTCTCTAGCTGCAAAAGTCTTAAATAGTATCTTCTTCCAATAGAAGGCTGTTTAATCCACGCTGAAAATCTGCTTTTAATGTAGCCACCTTTGTCAGTTACTTTAACTGTATTTTCTGAATAATTTGCTGCAGTTTCTACACCAGCACTTGCGGCTTCACCTTGCCCTTTTATGTTCTGGAGGGCACGTATTTCCTTAAAGTTCATAAAGCAACCTCTGCTAGCTTCAAACTTTTCTTCTGAAGCTTCCTCACCTCTCTCAGCCTTCACCAAATTGTCAAGAATTAGGGCTTGCTCTGGATTAGGCTATGACTTAAGGAAGATAATGTTGTAGCTGGTTTGATTTTCTTTCCAGACCAATAAAACTTGCTCCCCATCAGTAATAAGACTGTTCATTTTCTTATTATTTGTGTGTTCACTGGAGTGGCACTTTCAATTTTCTTCAAGAATTTTACCTTTGCATTCACAACTTGGCTAAATGTTTGACACAAGAGGCCTAGCTTTTAGCCCGTCTCAGCTTTTGACATGCCTTCTTCACTAAGCTTTATCGTTTCTAGCTTTTTACTTAAAGTCAGAGACATGTAACTGTCTCTCCCTTTCACTTAAACACTTAGAGGTCATTGCAGGTTTACTAATTTCAATAATGTTGTTCTCAGGAAATAGGCAGGCGGAAGCAGGGGAAGAGAGAGGAAGGAAAGTGGAATTCAACATTTCTCAAGTAAGCTGATTGTTACAGCACCCTAAAGCAATTCCAATGGTAACATCAGAAATCACTGATCACAGATCACCATGGCAGATATGATAATAATGAAAATGGTAGCAATATTGTGAGAATTACCAAAACGTGACACAGAGACACAAAGTGAGCACATGCTGTTGGGAAAAAACTTTAATACATAATTTTAAAAATATTTACTTCCATTAACATGTATTTAACTTTCATTGTGATATTTAGGCTTAATTATTGACAAGGCATTTTTTTTTGGTCTTATTAGAGCTTACCATATTGAGGTGAAAAGAGACAATTAAAAGTCCTGTGTCAGTATTGGTCATAATTCCTTCAATAAGGGAAGTCAAAGTATATCAGAGAATTACCTAACTTGGGCCCTGGGAGGTTGGAGATGGTGCCAGTAAAGTTTCCAGGGGAAGGGATGTATCACTGGAAACCTGAAGGGTGAATGGCAATGAGTCAAGGCCAGAGGCCTAGAAACTCACACGCAGAAGTCGCTGAAGCATGACAGAACAAAGAGCACTCAAGGAACTGAAAGAAACTAAGTATAAATGTGCTAGAAAACTGAGAAAGCAAAGAAGGTGGGCATGATAGAGTATAGACAGTGACACTGAATGTGAAACAAGCAGGTAATAAAGCCACAAGATTCACACCACAGTTTAGTATTCTTGCTGCATTTCCACATGTATCCCTTACATGCCTACTCTCCATTTTCCCCCAATTCAGCTAGCAACATTTTCTGTTTTATTAGCTCCGAGAATGGTGGTGCCCTCCACCCAGTTGCCCCTTACTTAATTTCTTCACCTCATCAGGTCTGCGAGACCTTCCAATTCTTCCTCCTAAATGTTTCCTGTATCTTCGACTTTTTCACATCTTCATAATCACTACTTACTTTGTTTATCTAGTTTATTGCAATAGCCAAGAGGCCTTCTTGCTTTTGGTTTACCCTTTCCCTTGCCAGTTCATGCCTATGGTAACATCTACTTAGCTGGAGGCAGAGTAGTACAGTGTGAAGGGCACTGGGATTCAAGAGGGGAGAATGAGAGGTCTCTCACCAAAATTCTGATGTGTGAATAAGAGTCAGGCTTCCTAAACATGGTTGGTATACCCAGCCAAATGTCATATGGAAAACTTAAAGACAGCATCTCTCCAATGTCTGTTTTCCTATGTTCAACACCACTACCACCACTCCCCCACCACTATCACACATATACATATTCTGGTTTCTAGAAATAGCTGTACCTAGGACACAACCCTGATTAAAATTCCAAAAATGGGGGTCCAAAGTGGCTCCAGCCGAATGTCGTGGCACTTGCGAAGGTGAGGTCATGAGTTCAAGGCTCACACGGACTGGCAAAAAAAAAAAAAAAAAAAGAATTCCAAGAATGGTGAGTTTTCGCATTGAGTTTGGCAGCAGCCACACCCTAGATCTTCTCTGTCAGTGTTTCCTGTAATGTTGACAAACCCTTCTTATGGGTGTAAACACATTGAGGAAACTGTTAGCAGCCTCAGAATTGGCAGCCTTCTAAAAGTGATGCTGTACTAAAAATCATCACTTGGTTTACTAAAACCAAGTGATGCCCTTTGTCCCCTCTGACTTTTTGAATTCTATGACTTCTGGTACCAAAAAAGGCAACTAGAAACTTAAAGTTTAAGTTGACCAAATGATATAAAATTGCAGCTGGACAGGAGGAATAAGTTCAAGAGATTGGTGTACATCATTGTAATTATTGTCACAATATACTCATTCAGGAAAATTGCCGAGAGTAGATTTTAAGTGTTCTCACTACAAAGAATAAAAGCATGCGAGGTACTGCATATGTTAAACAGGTTGATATAGCCATTCCACAGTGTGGGATGCATATAGCAAAACATCACATTGTACAGCATAAATATGTATATTATCTTCATTTGTCAAATAAAAAATATGATACAAAAATGCAAAAGATGATATAAGAAAGGCTATTCACATTCTGAGTTACTAGGAACGTTACTTAAATGCATTTTGAATTTTTCATTCTTAAGACAATTGCAAACAACAACAAAAATCTTTGTGGATAGGTTGATACCAACATTAATCTCAGTTGGTTGCCTTCTTAGCTCCATTTGTCTCCCAATACAGACAAGGTTATTTTCTGCATTTCATTTTTCCCCCTTTAATTCTCAACTGAGTTCTTCTCTGACTCAGAAGAAGGGCAGAAGACTGTGAAATAACACCATGCAACAACTTCTCAGAGAAGCACTTGGAGACCATAAGGTATAGCCAGCAAGTAGGATAACACGTAAGAAGTTGGCCTTTACTTAGAACTGATTTGAAGATGGTATATTTAAAGCCACACAGTTTGTTGGCATTTCAGAGCTATAACTTTTTAATATGATTGTGTCATAAGACTGAGTCTAAGTAGAGCATAGTGTTTCCTGAGCCTCTTAGTGCCTGTGCTGAAGTGTAGGCCTGGTTTCCATTCTGCATCTTCATGTTTAATGTGATTTTCTGTGATCATACTGGCTGTTCTTTCAGAAACAGTACCAGGAAAAAAATTAAACTTCCCATGGAAGATAGAGTCTGTATATGTAGAAGCATGTTCCCAATTCACTTTTTAAGTTATAAAATCTTCTCTTTTAACTTGTTCAATTCCATAGGTTTTGTCAAATTTACACAATAATGTTACTTCTACTGTAATCATGATAGGAAATATTTCCATCATCCTAAAAAGTTCTCACACATCCCTTTCCAATCAGTTGCCTCCTTCCACCCACAGAACCCTGGCAACCACTGATTTTTTTCCCTTTCCTAGCATTTCATATAAGCAAAATTATAGGATATGTAATATTTTGTTACTGGCTTATTTTGTGATGCTTCACACAATGCTTTTGAGGCTTAATTATGAGGCGAATACAAAGAGTTTGTTCCTTTCCATTGCTGAATTGCATTCTATAGTACATATAATCCCAAATTTGTCTCTTCTGCAGTTGGTGAACATGTGGATTGTTTCTGGTTTTTTATTATTAAGAATAAAACTGCTATCTGTGAACATTCCTTCACAAATCTTTGTGTGAACATATTCTCTTATTCCTCTTGTGTAATGCTTAGATGTGAAATTTCTGGGTGGTTTGGTAAGTGTGTTTAATTTTGTATTCCCAACAGTTGTTTTGCATAGCTGCCAACACTTAGTATTTTCAATCTGTTTTATTTTAGCTATTGTAATGAATATAAAGTGACACTTATTGTGGTTTGGATTTTTATTTGTCTAATGACAAATGAGGTTAAGAATCTTTTCATATGCTTATTTTCCATTCGTGTCTTTTAGTAAACTATCTACTTAAATTTCTTGTGAATATTTAATTGGGTTGTTTGTGCCATATGATTTTTAAGATACAAAAGCTATTTTATTTATGTGTGTGAGCAATTAGATTTAATTGTTTTTGATAAAATCTAATATAAATTTGAGGCGTTTTTTTGTTTTCATTTTTTAGTAATTTATTTATTTAATTTTTTTAGACAGAGTCTCACTCTGTTGTCCAGGCTGGAGGGCAATGGTGTGATCTTGGCTCACTGCAACCTCCACCTCCCAGGTTCAAGCAATTCTTCTGCCACAGCTTCCTGAGTAGCTAGGATTACAGGCGTGCACCACCATGCCTGGCTAATTTTTGTATTTTTGTGGAGATGGGGTTTCACCACATTGGTCAGACTGGTCTCAAACTGTTGACCTCCTGATTCGCCCACCTTGGCCTCCCAAAGTGCTGGGATTACAGGTTTGAAAAAAAACCTGTAAAAAAAAGAAAAATGCCCAGCCTACAAATTTGAGTTTTTAATGATTACTGAATAATGTCATTTTCTAATAATTGTCATGTAACTGTATTGCATATCAAATTATTTTTAACTTTTTATTATACATTTTCTAAATAAAAGCATAAAAACTAAATAAAATAGTACACTGACACCCCATGGACCTGTCATTCAGATTGTACAGTTATCAACATTCTGCCATTTGTGTTATCTCTATACCTTCAACCATTTTGTATCTACAATTTGATTATCATTAGTACTATTAGTGATATTATTTTATTTTATCTTATTTTTTTATTATACTTAAGGTTCTGGGGTACATGTCCAGAACATGCAGGTCTGTTACATAGGTATACACATGCCATGGTGGTTGCTGCATCCATCACCCTGTCATCTACATTAGGCATTTTTTCTAATGCTATCCATCCCTGAGCCTCCCACCCCCTAAAAAGCTCCAATGTATGATGTTCTCCTCCCTGTGTCCATGTGTTCTCATTGTTCAACACCTGCCAATGAATGAGAACATGTAGTGTCTGGTTTCCTGTTCTCATGTCAGTTTGCAGAGAATGATGGTTTCCAGCTTTATCTGTGTGCCCACAAAAGACATTAATGCATCCTTTTTTATGGCTGCATAGTATTCCATGGTGCAGATGTGCCACATTTTTTTTATTCAGCTTATCATTGATGGGCATTTGAGTTGGTTCCAAGTCTTTGCTATTGTGAACAGTGCCACAGTAAACATATGTGTCCATATGTCTTCATAATAGAATGATTTATACTCCTTTAGGTATATACCCAGTAATGGCATTGCTGGGTCAAATGGTATTTCTAGTTTTAAATCTTTGAGGAATCGCCACACTGTCTTCCATAATGGTTGAACTAATTTAAACTCCTACCAGCAGTGTAAAAGCATTCTTATTTCTCCACATCCTCTCCAGCATCTGTTGTCTCCTGATTTTTTTAATGATCACCATTCTAACTGGCATGAGATGGTAACTCAATGCGGGTTTGATTTTCATTTCTCTAATGACCAGTAATGATGAGCTTTTTTTCATATGTTTGTTGATTACCTAAATGTCTCCCTTTGAGAAGTGCCTGTTCATATCCTTCGACCACTTTTGATGGGATTATTTGTTTTTTTCTTGTAAATTTGTTTAAGTTCTTTGTAGATTCTGGATATTAGGCCTTTGTCATATGGGTAGTTTGCAAATATTTTTTCCTATTCTGTTGGTTAACCATTGACTCTAATGATAGGTTCTTTTGCTGTGCAGCAGCTCTTTAGTTTAATTGGATCCCATTTGTCTATTTTGGCTTTCGTTGCCATTGCTTTGGGTGTTTTAGTCGTGAAGTCTTTGCTCATGCCTATGTCCTGAATGGTATTGCCTCGGTTTTCTTCTAGAGTTTTTATGGTGTTAGGTCCTATGTTTAAATCTTTAATCCATCTGGAGTTAATTTTTGTATAATGCATGAGGAAGGGATCCAGTTTCAGCTTTTTGCATATGACTGGCCAGTTTTCCCAACATCATTTATTAATAGAGAATCCTTTCTTCATTGCTTGTTTTTGTCAGATTTCTCAAAGATTATATGGTTGTAGATGTGTGATGTTATTTCTGAGGCCTCTATTATGTGCATTGGTCTTTATCTCTGTTTTGTTACCAGTGCTATGCTGTTTTGACTGTTGTAGCCTTGTAGTATAGTTTAAAGTCAGATAGCATAATGGCTCCTTTTTTTTTTTTGCTTATAATTGTGTTGGCTATGTGTGCTCTTTCATGATTCCGTATAAAGTTTAAGGTGGTTTTCTCCAGTTCTGTGAATAAAATCAATGGTAGCTTGATGGGGATAGCATTGAATCTGTTAATTACTTTGGGCAGTATGACCATTTTCACAATATCGATTCTTCCTAGCCATTAGCATGGAATGTTTTTCCATCTGTTTGTGTCCTCTCTTATTTCCTTGAGTGATGGTTTGTAGTTCTCCCTGAAGAGGTCTTTCACATCCCTTGTCAGTTGTATTCCTAGGCATTTTATTCTCTCTGTAGCAATTGTGAATGGGAATTCACTTATGATTTGGCTCTCTGTTTGTGTATTACTGGTGTGTAGGAATGCCTGTGACTCTTTCACATTGAATTTGTATCCTGAAACTTTGCTGAAGTTGCTTATCAGTTTCAGGAGATTTTGGGCTGAGATGATGGGGTCTTCTAAGTATACAATCATGTTGTCTGCAAAAAGAGACAATTTGACTTCTTCTTTTCCTAACTGAATACACTTTATTTCTTTCTCTTGGCTGATGGCCCTGACCAGAACTTCCAATACTATGTTAAACAGGAGTGGTGAGAGGGGACATCCTTGTCTTGTGCCAGTTTTCAAAGGGAATGCTTGTATATTTGCCCATTCAGTATGATATTGGCTTTGGGTTTGTCATAAATAGCTCATTATTTTGAGATACATTCCATCAATACCTAGTTTATTGAGAGATTTTAGCATAAAGGACTGTTGAATTTTGTCGAAGGCCTTCTCTGCATCTATTGAGATGATCATGTGGTTTTTGTCTTTGGTTCTGTTTATGTGATGGATTACATTTATAGATTTTTATATGTTGAACCAGCCTTGAATCCCAGGGATGAAGCCAACTTGATCACATTTGATAAGCTTTTTGATGTGCTGTTGGATTTGGTTTGCCAGTATTTCATTGAGGATATTCACATAGATGTTCATCAGTGATATTGGCTTGAAATTTTCTTTTTTAGTTGTGTCTCTGCCAGGATTTGGTATCAGGATTATGTTGGTCTCATAAAATGAGTTAGGAAGGATTCCCTCTTCTCGTATTGTTTGGAATAGTTTCAGAAGGAATGGTATCAGCTCCTCTTTGCACATCTGGTAGAAGTCACCTGTGCCCCCATCTGGTTCTGTACTTTTTTGGTTGGTAGACTATTAATTTGTTAATTACTGCCTCAATTTCAGACCTTGTCATTCATCTATTCAGGGATTTAACTTCTTGGTTTAGTCTTGGGAGGTGTAGATGTCCAGGAATTTATCCATTTCTTCTAGATTTTCTGGTTTATTTGCATGGAGCTGTTTGTAATATTCTCTGATGGTAGTTTGTATTTCTATGGAATCAGCGGTGATATCCCCTTTATCATTTTTTATTGCATCTATTTGATTCTTCTTTCTTTTCTTCCTTATTATTAAGGCTAGGGGTCTATCTATTTTGTTGATCTTTTCAAAATACCAGCTCCTGAATTCATTGATTATTTGAAGGGTTTTTTGTGTCTCTGTCTCCTTAGGTCTGCTCTGATCTTAGTTATTTCTTGTCTTCTGCTGGCTTTTGAATTTGTTTGATCTTGCTCCTATATTTATTTTAATGGTGATGTTAGGGTGTCAATTCTGGATCTTTCCTCATTTCTCTTGTGGGCATTTAGTGCTATAAATTTACCTCTAGACTCTGCTTTAAATGTGTCCCAGGGATTCTGGCATATTGTGTCTTCATTCTCATTGGTTTCAAAGAACATCTTTATTTCTGCCTTCATTTCATTATTTATCCAGTAATCATTCAGGAGCAGATTGTTCAGTTTCCATATAGTTGTGCAGTTTTGAGTGAGTTTCTTAATCCTGAGTAGTAATTTGATTGCACTGTGCTCTGAGAGACTGTTTGTTACAATATCCATTCTCTGGCATTTACTGAGGGGTTTTTTACTTCCACTTATGTGGTCAATTTTAGAATAAGTGCAGTGTGGCGCTGAGAAGAATGTATATTCTGTGGATTTGGGATAGAGAGTTATGTAGATGTCTATTAAGTTCACTTGATCCAGATCTGAGTTCAAGTCCTGGATATCCTTGATAATTTTCTGTCTTGTTGATCTGTGTAATATTCACAGTGGGGTGTTAAGTCTCCTGCTACTATTGCATAAGAGTCTAAGTCTCTTTATAGGTCATTAAGGACTTGCTTTATGTATCTGTGTGCTTCTGTATTGGATGCATATATATTTAGGATTATTAGCTCTTCTTGTTGCATTGATCTCTTTACCACTCTGTAATACCCTTCTTCATCTCTTTTGATCTTTGTTGGTTTAAAGTCTGTTTTATCAGAGACTAGGATTGCAATCCCTGCTTTTTTCACCCTCCATTTGCTTGGTAAATCTTCGTCCATCCCTTTATTTTAACCTATGTGTTTCTTTGCACTTTAGATGAGTCTCCTGAATACAGCACACCGATAGATCTTGACTCTTTATACAGTTTGCCAGTCTGTGTCTTTTAACTAGGGCATTTAGCCCATTTACACCAAAGGTTAATATTGTTATGTGTTAATTTGATCCTGCCATTTTGATGCTAGCTGGTTGTTTTGCCCATTAGTTGATGGAGTTTCTTCATAGTGTCCATGGTCTTTACAATTTGATATGTTTTTTGCAGTAGCTGGTACTGGTTGTTCCTTTCCATGTTGAGTGCTTCCTTCAGGAGCTCTTGTAAGGCAGGCCTGGTGGTCATGAAATCTCTAAGCAGTTGCTTTTCTGTAAAAGATTTGATTTCTTTTTTGCTTATAAGGCTTGGTTTGGCTGGATATAAAATTCTGGGTTATAAATTCTTTTCTTTAAGGATGTTGAGTATTGGTCCTTACTCCCCTCTGGCTTCTAGGGTTTTGGCTGAGAGATCTGCTGTGACTCTGATTGGCTTCCCTTTGTGGGTAACCCCACCTTTCTGTCTGGCTGCCCTTAGCGTTTTTTCCTTCATTTCAACCCTAGGGAATCTGATGATTTTGTCTTGGAGTTGCTCTTCTCAAGGAGTATCTTTGTGGAGTTCTCTGTATTTCCTGAATTTGAATGTTGTCCTGCCTTGCTAGGTTGGGAGAGTTCTCCTGGGTAATATCCTCAAAATGTTTTCCAATTTGGTTTCCTTCTCTCCATCACTTTCAGATACAGTGATCAAATGTAGATTTGGTCTTTTAATATAATTCCATATTTCTTGGAGGTCTGTTCATTTCTTTTTATTCTTTTTTCTCTAATCTTGCATTCTTTATTTCATTGAGTTGATCTTCAGTCTCTGATATTCTTTCTTTTGCTTGATCAATTCAGCTATTGAAAATTGTGTATGCTCCCCAAAGTTCCTGTGCTGTGTTTTTCAGCTCCATCAAGTTGTTTATATTCTTCTCTAGGCTGGATATACTAGTTAGCATTTCGTCTAACCTTTTTTCAAGTTTCTTAGCTTCCTTGCATTTGGTTAGAATATGCTCCTTTAGCTCAGAGACGTTTGTTATTACCTGTCAGTTCATCAAACTTATTCTCCATCCAGTTTTGTTCCCTTGCTGGTGAGAAGTTGCAATCCCTTGGAGAAGAAGAAATGTTCTAGTTTTTGGAGATTTCAGCCTTTTTGCGCTGGTTTCTTCCCATCCTCGTGAATGTATCTACCTTTGATATTTGAAGTTGGTGGCCTTTGGATGAGGTCTCTGAGTGGACATCCTTTCTGTTGATGTTGAAACTATTTCTGTTTGTTAACTTCCCTTCTAACAGTCAGGCTCCTCTGCTGGAGTTTGCTGGAGGTCCACTCCAGACCCTGATTGCCTGGGAATCACCAGTGGGGGCTTCAGAACAGCAAAGATTGCTGCCTGTTCCTTTCTCTGGTAGCTTTATCTCAAAGGGTACTCACCAGTTGGTAGCCAAAGTTCTCCTATATGAGGTATCTGTCAGCCTCTGATAGGAGGTATCTCCTAGTCAGGATACACAGGCATCAGGGAGCCATTAATTTTTTTTCATTGAGGTGTAATTCACCTACACTAAGATACACAAACATTCAATGTACAATTCAAAAACTGAATACAACCAGGTAACCCACAATCCACACCTCATTATAACAGGGCCCTCTTGTCTCTCCTGAAGGCTTTGCTGTAGTCCCTTCCAGTCATACCCCTTTATCCCAAAGCAGACAACCAGTATTGCCATTTTCTTCTGCCTTGGATAAGGTTTGCTTGTTCTAAAACTTTACAAAAATAAAATAGTTCAACCTGTGTTCTTCTTATCTTTCTTTCACTCTACATATTATTTATGAGAGTAATCCAGGTCGTTAAGTGATTCAACAGGTCAGACATTGTTATTATTGGGTAATATTCTATTTTATGACTATACAATAGCTTGTTAATCCATTTTTCTGCAGATGTGCATTTGAATTGTTTCCAGTGTTTGGCTATAATTGTTAAAGTTGCTGTGAATATACTGGTCTAAGTCTTTGTGTAGACATATGCTTTCACTTTTCTTCTATATATACCTAGGAAAAGAAAACTGGGTCTAAGGATAGGCAATTGAAGAAAAATTGTCAAACTTTTATATGAAAGTGGTTATATGAAATTCTATGTTCTTACCAGTGTGAGCATTCCAGTTGTTCACATCTTTGCAATATCAGTGTTGTTAGAGCTCTACATTCTGGCCGTTTTATAGGAATTCAGTGATAAATCATTTAAATTTGCTGAGTAATTTTTATGTATTTATTGGTCTTGTATATAACTTAATTTGCAACTTTTCCATGTCTTCTGCTCACATTTTGAACTGTGGGAATTAAGAGTCTATTCTAGATACAAGTCCTTTGTCAAATATATGTTTTGTAAATACATATTTTTGAATTTTTTTATACTTTGGCTTGCCTGTTTATTTCCTTAATGTTTGTAATGTTAATAAAAATTTTTTTTATGCTTTTGTCTCAAGGCATTATAGATTTTGATTTTATGTGTGGACTTCTGAGCTATCACAAATTAATTTTTGTGCATGATGAAACTAGGAGCTGAACATTTTCATTTTCATATGGATAGTCAGTTAATCCAGCACCATTTATTGACAAGGTTGTCATTTTCTTATTGAACTAAATTGGCATCTTTATTGAGACTGAATTCGCCGTATAAACATGGGTTCATTTGGACACTCCATTCTATTTCATGGATCCATTTATTTATCTTTGTGACAGTGCTATGTTGTCTTGACTAAATTAATCTAGAGTAATTCTTACAGTCAAATAGTGAAAGCCTTCCAGGTTTTTCTTTATTGTTTCCTCTAAGATTGTTTGGTAAAATCTAGGTTGCATACATATTCATGTACATTTTAATACAACATTATCAATTTCTATAAAACCAGCTGTTCGATTATGATTGAGATTAAAATGGAATATTAATTTGGGTAAAATGAATATTTTTAAAATATTGTATCTTCCAAGCTATAATTGGTGTTTTCCAGCACATTTGAAAAGTTTCCAGCCATGATTTGCTCAGATTGTTGTTGTTCTGCTCCATTCTCTCTTGCCTTGACTTCTGCAACTCAAATTACATGTACGTTAGATGTCTAGTTATTATCCCACAGATCTCTGAAGCTCTGTTCGAGTTTCTCCCAATTTTCATTTCTTTGTTCTTACAATTAGTTAATTTCTACTGATGTATCGTCGTTTGCCAGTTCTTTCTTTTCCTATCTCAAACTTGTTTTAAGCCCTTCCAGTGCATTTTTCATTTCAATTACTGTATTGTAGGGTTCTATAATTCCCCCTTTGCTCTTTTTTTATAGTTTTTATTTCTGTGCTGAGATTTCCCCATTTGTTCATTTATTATACACGTATTTCCCTTTAAGAACTTAAACATATTTGTAAGAGCTGATCGAAGTATTTGTCTGCTTCTAGCAACATCTGGTTTACCTGGAGATTTGTTTCCATTAATTGTTTCATGAGTGAGGGTCACATTCTCCTTTATTTTTACATATCTAATGATTTTTATTTGGATCCAGGACATTACGAATGATGCATTGTCAAGATTCTGGCTTCCACTATGTTTATCTGGGGAATGATTTTTTAAAAAATATTCTAGTAGGCAGTTAATTTGATAGTCAAACTCTGTCTCTTCTGCATTGGTATTAGCTGACTCTCTATGCAGTAATTTTAGCCTCCACCTGCTGCTTTTATTCTTGCATTCTAGGATCTTCCCTGTAAATACGTAGTTTACTGGTTAGCAAAAAGGCTGGGTAAATTTCGACACTTGTTTTCACTTTCAAGATTTCCTCCCCAAACATTCTGACTCCTCTGGCAACCCAAAACTATATTCTCTGACCCCTTACGAATGTAGTTTTGTGTGTTTCTGCTCTATTTTACATATTTTTTGAAGCAAATAGCCACAAAATGGTAAGTTTAACCTACTGCAGTTCATCTTTCAAAAGCAGTCTTCTCTAGTTTCTGCTTGTTTTTGGTCATTGCAATGCCTTCAAATAGTTGTTTGTTTGCTAGTTTTAATCTTGTTTATGTTTAATTATTGTTGCCAGTGGGAGGATTGACATGACCAAGCTAATCCATAGGGGCCAAAACCCTAAAAACTTTGTTTTTTAATCTAAAGGTTAGCAATTCAGGGTCATAAGGGTCACAAGTGCTCAAAAAAAGTATATCACAAGTGTTTAACACATTTTACAAAACACGAACAACACAGGAAGAGTCAGAGGGACTTATTTACCTTTTTTTGGTGAGTTTTCTTCAATCATGCTCAGTAGAAATTTTCTCAGTTATCCTGTGTACTTTCCCTGAGGCACTTTGCTAATGAAGTAGGACAAATCTGAGAGGACAGACATTGTTTGCAAATAAGATTATGGCAACCTGTGAAACCCTGCCAAACACCAGTTATTCCCCACCCTCTGTTTCTCAGGCGTAGGGAGCTAAACGAAACAAGGTTATATGAATTCAAGTCTGCTATTGTAATTGACAGGCATGAAGTAGCTCACCCTTTTAAGTCCCCCAGCATGTGAAAAACTGTCAGAGAAAAGATTGAGACCAGCTGTTCTCTCTTTTTGCTGAAGACCTAAAAGGAACAAATAGACAAAGTGCTACATTAGAGAATAAGATCATCTATGTAAGAAAATTCTTCTTTATGTTGGAAATGATTAAATTCCTCAATGGATAACCAAAGGCATTGTCAGAGAGAGAGAGAAAAGGAAGAGAGAGAAAGCATGTGATTTCTCTGAAGGGAGACATATGTGCTTAAAAATGACAGCATATGCTTTTATCTTTTTTTAGTTTTTAATCAACACTGTCATAAAAATTTGTGCCAAAATTTTTAAAGCTATTATTTTCAAATGGGCTTTATTTTCCAGGATGCATAAGGAGCACCCAGCATAATAATGTGACTAGATGACACATCTCAGTTATTCAGGATATTGGACCTCCAGATTTCTTCAAGAACAGGGATACGTACCAATAGTCTCTTAGATCTGCTTCCACTACTCAAAGCATGGTATAAATATACAACATATAATTAGAATTTAATAAAATTAGAATTCAATAAATACTGGAATGCCAGTATGTTGTGTACATTTTTAAGTAAAGACTTGGCAACAAGATAACTGATTTCAAGACCCAACTATGCCATGGTAAGGTGGGACAATTAAAAGATATTTTTCTGTGCTGTTTGCTCTTTGCTGCACTGTGGATGGACCTACAGATGCCCATGGTCATGGAATGCTATAATATCTGTTCCTAGGATTGAGGAACACCAAATGCAGCCTAGGATTGAGGAACACCATAGGCTCTCTATAGTGTTACTAAATCACCAGGGTTAAATTACTTATGTATATTTGGTCTGAGTCTGTGACTGGCCATTTTCAACATGTGTTCGAAAGGCTTATCAAGACTTGCTTTTTCCTTAGAACAAATTTATTTCAGCTAATTAAAGGGGAAATGGTTAAATAAAAAAACAGCAAAAACCGGCATTTTGCTCTATACTGTATCAGTTTTCTAGGGCTGCCATAATAAAATACCACAGACTGGGTGGCTTTCACAGCAAAAATTTGTTTCCTCATAAGTCCAGAGGCTGGAAGTCCAAGATGAAGTTGCAGGCTGTGTACGATTACCTCTGAGGCCTTGAGCTTGCAGATAGCCACATTCTTGCTGCCTCTGTGTGTGCCCCCGAGTGTCTCCCTCAGAACCAGATTTTCTCTTATAAGGACACCAGTCAGATTGTCTTAGGAGCCCACCCTAATGTCTTCGTTTAAATTGAGTCACCTCTTTGAGGACCTTATCTCTCAATAGAGTCTCATGGGTTAGGGCCCACTGTTATGACCCCCTTTAACTTTAATCTTTAAGGCCATATTTCTAAATGTAGCCATATTCTGAGATACTGAAGATTAGGACTTAAACATATAAATTTGGGGGACAGGTGGACACAGTTCAGTCTGTACTAGGCACCAAATCTATCATTAGCCATTTCGGCACAGTTGAAAACCTAACTATAGCTTCATCAAAGAAAAGGCATACGACTCAATTGGCAGTATGGAGAAACTGCAATAAGATATATGTTCATCCTTTACTCATCCCTATTATCTTCTGAATCTTCTCTCCCCTTTCTTGGCAAAGAGGAAACTTCAAAGCCAAATTTATGATATTGGAATGAGTGAATGGAGTCATAGATTACCTAAATGATGGAAGTCAACAGCTTTTACAATTAAATGGAAATAACTTATATAGGAAAATTCAAACAAAACAATATTAAGTAAAACAGTAGTAGAGAAAGCTATTTACATATTATAGTCCTATACATTACTTTATAAGGTCGAGGTGAGGATTAAATTAGTTAATACATATAAAACACTTACAAAATTTAGCTGGCAGAAAGTAAGTGCTCCATATACAATAGCTTATTATTGCTGGTATCATCATATAAAAATAATTTGGCTGGGCGCAGTGGCTCACGCCGATAATCGCAGCACTTTGGGAGGGCGAGGCGGGTGGATCACGAGGTCAAGAGATCGAGACCATCCTGGTCAACATGGTGAAACCCGGTCTCTACCAAAAATACAAAAATTAGCTGGGCATGGTGGCGCATGCCTGTAGTCCCAGCTACTCGGGAGGCTGCGGCAGGAGAATTGCTTGAACCCAGGAGGCACAGGTTGCGGTGAGCCAGGATCACGCCATTGCACTCCAGCCTGGGTAACAAGAGCGAAACTCCGTCTCAAAAATAATAATAATAATAATGATATTTAAGGTTGGTACCATTAACCTGACTGTCTCTGTACCACAGTTCATGACCTTTCTCTGTCATTCATCCTCCAGATTTCCTTGTACAGCCTCTTTTTTGGAATTCAACATCTTTTGGAATTCAACATCTCTATTGAGGCAAGAGTGTCAGAGGTGAGCCTCATGTTCTAAGTCCAGCCTACTTATGAGACTTGAGAATTTCCCCCTTAGAGGTCGCTTTGTGATTGAAATTGAGAGGAATACTTTTCTTCAGCAGAAGCTATTGACCAGTCTGTCAGATACACACCAGATACCAAGGACTTGAATTACACAATTGTTTGGGGAATGCTCCTGTAGCTCGTAGTATCATTAGTCAGGAGGAAGAGATTCTTATATTAATCAAGTCCCCTAAGGATGTTGACAAGGATAATAATTCTTTCCCAATGTGCTGTTATAACTCTCAGTTGTTTCATATTAAAACAAGAGAATAAAAAGGCTTTGGAAAGAATACGCATTTTTAATAGAAGCTATAATTCTGTGTGAAGGGTTATCTGAATAGTTTGCCCAAGAAATTAAATTATAGCACTTCTGCTACTGATATAGCTATTGAGGGAATGAAGCCAAAGTCCTGTCATCCCTTTCCATAGAGGTTTGTAAGGATACAGTTAACCCTGTGTAAGTTCTGTCCAAACATCCAAGGGCTTTTGCGTTTCTCTGAAAAGAACAAACTGGTGCTATTAACACTATTAACCTTTGCTTAATCTGACTAAAAACAGCATTATACAAAAGAAAAGGCATTGTAGCCACTGAATCCTTGTAGATAATATTATTTTTTAAATAAATGATAAGTCATAAACATAAAGAGTAAACTTACCTGGGTAGGATAGTACAGTTAATAGTTTGCCAGGCATCATCCTAACTCTATGGATATATAAAACTGTGCTTCAGTTTAGTTCAACATATCAGAAATGTCTAATGGACTGGGTAATTTTCGGTCCCTCCATCCTCTAGAATATTACCAGAGGCTTAAGTAGGAATAAAGTTGGTTTTAGTTTGAGCCCTCCAGAGAGTAGGACTATGCTTCCTGGTTTAACAATGACTTATTTTGAGTACCTAGCCACTGCTGAATCTCACAGAGAAAATGCAAACACTCTAATCAATTTTGAGGTAGAGTTAGACCCAGAAGATAGCCAATTAATGCATCTCAACATTCCAAAAAGCCTGAGTACAAGCAAGTAGCCCCCAAGGCCCCAGATAATGATTATTATTTCCATCTTCATTCAAGAGAAAAAATGCTAGAAACAGCCTTCATTTCAATAGAGTGTTGGGCCACTGATTTTTATCACTTACGTAAGAGTCATTTGCAATTAATGTGCAGAATCATAACCTCTTACAGGTATAAGGATCACACAGAGAAAATGCAATCCAATGCTCTCATTTTACAGATGAGCAGACTGAGGCCTATAGAGGTTTGGAGACTTGTTCAAGGTCACATACTTGTTCATGGCTCAGGAGGGATTTTGATCAAATGTACTATTGCAAAAAGATGTGGAAAACAGCCGATTCTGCTTAGCAGCTGTATTAGTTTGTTTTTACACTGCTATAAATATACTGCCAGAGAATGGGTAATTTATGAAGAAAAGAGGTTTAGCCAGGCGCAGTGGCTCACGCCTGTAATCCCAGCACTTTGGGAGGCTGAGGTGGGCGGATCACGAGGTCAAGAGATTGAGACCATCCTGGCCAACATGGTGAAACCCCGTCTCTACTAAAAATACAAAAAATTTGCTGGGCGTGGTGGCACACGCCTGTAGTCCCATCTACTCAGGAGGCTGAGGCAGGAGAATTGGTTGAACCCAGGAGGCAGAGGTTGCAGTGAGCCGAGATCATGCCACTGCACTCCAGCCTGGCGCCTGGTGATGGAGTGAGACTCTGTCTCAAAAAAAAAAAAAAGAAAAGAGGTTTAATTGGCTCATGGTTCTACATGGCTGGGGAGGCCTCAGGAAACTTACAATCATGGTGGAACAGGAAGGAGACCAAGGCACATCTTCCTATGGTGGCAGGAGGGAGGGAGAGATGGAGGGAGAGAGAGAGCAAGGAAGCTGTCACTTATAAATACCACCAGATCACCTGAGGTTAGGAGTTCCAGACAAGCCTGGCCAACATGATGAAATCTTGTCTCTACTAAAAATATAAAAATTAGCTGGGTATGGAGGCAGGTGCCTGTAATCCCAGCTACTCTAAAAGCTGAGGTGGAAGAATCTCTTGAACCTGGGAGGTGGTGGTTTCAGTGAGCTGAGGTCATGCCACTGCATTCTAGGCTGGGCAACAAGATAGAAATTCAAAAATAAATAAATGAATGAATAAATGAAAGAAAGAAAGAGAGGTGAGGAGAGGCAAAGCCAGATCTTGTGAGAATTCACTATCATAAGAACAGCATAAGGGAAACCGCCCCCATGATTCAGTCACCTCCCCCAGGTCCCTCCTTCAACACATGGGGATTACAATTTGGGATGAGATTTGGGTGGGGACATAAAGCCAAACCATATCAGCAGCATAAAAATTTCTTCTTCAATGTTACTTACACTGTTGTTTGTAGAAAATGCAAAATTATATTTTAGCCCAGCTCCCACTAGAAATAAACTAAAAATTAAAATTAAAACTCACAGATTTTTGTTTAGAATTTGATGCTGCTTTAAGCAAAACAGTATTTAAAACGACTCTGCTAATAAGTGTGTCATGCTTTCTTCTATGAGCAGGAAGAGTGGGAGTGGAGAGTAAAATGCTTGCCAACTTCATGGAGGAAAGAGATTGCCTGGCCTGGTGTGTGTTCCCTCCAAGGCAGAGAGAGCC